TAATAAAGTAATATAAATAATGAATAAGAATATGAATTCGGATGAAAATAAAATCTTACCTCCGTGATAAAAACAAGCTCATAACTTTTGATGATGAATTTTAATATTGTGTGTATTTTTGTTAGTTACGAATTTTGTTTAAATGAAAATTTTTATATTTTTATGCAATAGTAATAATTATATTTATTAATTTTTATTGAAACAATAATTAAGAATTAAAATTGAATTAGTTTGTTGAAAAATAGATCAAAATTATCATTTTAAAAATAAAGAGATTAAAATTGACACGATATTGAATAAAAATGACTGAAATATATTTACCCTGATCAATTTTGGTCCAAATATAATTAAAATCAATTTTGGTCCAAATATAATCAAAATTTATCAATTTTGGTCATAATATAAAAAAACTCATCAATGTTAGTCTAATTATAAACAATTTCAATCAATTTTGATCCCACTGAAACTAACGGAAATTGTTGACGTGGACGTAACGGAGTTGATGTGGCAGCTGATCTGGAAACTACACTGCCATGTACAATTATATACGGCCATGTTGTCACACAGCCATGTATATTTCAGTGTACAATTATACACGGTCATGTATAATTTTACATTGTCATGTACATTTCTGTTTTGATCTAAAATTTTATTTTTTTGTTATATATATATTTTTAAAAAAATATACTTTGAATTTAGAATAGTTGATATAGTCAAAATTGAAAAGATCTATAGTAATCCTAATATAATTAAAATGAGAAAAAATCAATTTTAGTCTCAATATAAAAAACTCATCAATTTTAGTCTCATTATAAAAAATTTCAATCAATTTTGATCTCATTATAAACAATTTCAATAAATTTTGGTACTACCGTTAAAAAACTAACGTAAATTTTCTGACGTGGACGTAACGGAGTTCATGTAACAGCTGACCTGGAAACTACATGGCCATGTACAATTATACACGACCATATTGTCACACGATCATGTATATTTCAGTGTACAATTATACATTATCATGTTCGTACACAACCATGTATAATCTAAAATTTTATTTTATTTTTATATTTTTTTAAAAAATAATTTAAATTTAGAATAGTTGATACAGTTAAAATGACAAAAATTAATACTAATCTTAATATAATTAAAATGTATCAATTTTAGTTCTAACTCATTTGAAAGATTTTGTCTAAAATATTCATCAAAATTTTTCCTCTTACAAACATCCAATTACACAACTATTTTTTTTATTTTATTATATTATATTAAAAATTTATTTTACATTTCAATACAATTTCAACGTAGACATATATAATTGTATTGAAATATAAGATTAATTTTTAATACTATACTATACAAAAATAAAAAATAGTTGTGTAATTGAATATTTTTAGAAAGAAATGTTTTTGGTAAATAATAGAATTTTACACCAAATCTTTCAAAAGAGTTGAAATAAAATTGATACATTTTAATTATATTAGGATTAGTATCTTCTTTTTTTTTTTTTTTTTTTTTTTTTAACAATATCAACTATTCTAAATTTAAAATATTTTTAAAAAAAATATAAAAAAATAAATTTTTAGACCAAAACAGAAAGTTACACGGTCATGTAGAATTATACATGGCCGTATAAGAACATGATCATGTATAATTGTACACTAAAATATACATAGCTGTGTATAATTGTACATGATCGTATAGTTTCCAAGTCAGCAGCTACATCAACTCCGTTACATCCACGTCAGCAATTTCCGTGAGTGACCAAAATTTCTTAAAATTGTTTATAATAGAATCAAAATTGATTGAAATTGTTTAGAATGAGACCAAAATTGATTGAAATTGTTTATAATACGACTAAAATTGATGAGTTTTTATATTGAAACCAAAATTGATTGAAATTGTTTATAATGTGACTAAAATTAATGAGTTTTTATACGTTGAGACCAAAATTGATAAAATTTGATTACATTGGAACCAAAATTGATTTTTTTCCATTTTATTATTATAGTATCATTACTTAATTACTTCACACACACTATTAACTAAACATTTACTCTAATTAATTTTCTAAAATCCTTCTATATAACTTTTACATTAAATATTGGGTGTGTTTGTCTGGGGTTTGAATTTTGAGTTGGGATTTGAATAGTAAAATTTTGAATTTGAATAGTTGTATAATGTGATATAAATAGGTGTTGATGTGATTTTTTGAATGTAAAATTGATTTTTAGTATAATATAAAAAATAAAAAAATAAGTATTTGATTTGATGTTTTTTGGTCAAAAAAATGAGATGAATAGTGGATTTAAAATTCAATCACCCGAACAAACACACTAGTATGCGTTTGATTTATGTTTCAAAACATCACATAGATCAACCGATAATCCGATTAAGTCAGCATAATGTTGATTTAACCAAATATATTTATACATATATTAGCATATTGATAGTACAATATATTACTCACTCCGTCCCTTATCTATGTATCTGTTTATTTTTTCCAGAGAGAGTTTTAAAAATATTAATATTATATTGAAATGTGATATAAATAAAATAAAAACGATTAAAATAACCTTATTAGTATTATATAATATAAATATAATAATATTTGTATAATATATTATAAATTGTAATTGATAGACCAAAATAAAAAAAAAATAGATAGATTATTAAGGGACAGAGAGACTATACTACAACTCACAAATGTTGTCTTATATGTATAAACATATGCTCATGCTAATTACCTATATGGCATACAACACAATGCTAACTTGGCCTCAAAGACAAATTAGCAATATTCAACTAACACTATTACCAATAAAAAAAAAATACACAATTTTACTAATTTCTCTCGAAAAATAATAAATCAAAATTCAAACCACAGATACAATTTAAATAAAAACCAAACAAACTCTAATTAGTATCAAGACGAGCGCAAACATGGCGGACTTGGGGAATATATTTCTATACTAAACAATCATAGTATTTCATCAGAGTCAAGTCAAACACATGATAAAGCAAAATCTTATTACATCCATGGAAGTAAAACATTCATCCTGTCAAAAGCATGTAAACACAAGAAGAGGGATATCTCATTCCATCATCTAAAGCACACGTAATTTTTGAGTTTTTGTAGTGTCTCCTATCGAAAAAAGAAAATAGGTATCAAGACATAATAATCTCCCTTCTAAATAAAGCTTTCCTAAAACTCGAGAGGTATGAACACAACCACTATTCCCTTTGAGCCGAGACCGGCATGGCATGGCATGGCACTCACAAGTAAATATAACATATATCCGTGATCTTCTTGTCGGGCAAACAGATGCCGAGGAACCTCCCCACCCAAAGCACCCTCTAACCACATTTTTAAAAACCACATAGAAAAAATCCCACAAATGCTCAATATTGGTTTAAGATTGAGTGACCTGAATATGGTCCTGGCAGCTTCATCAACCCTCGATGCCTTCAGTCGCCCACATGCAGCAGTGTGGGGCTGCCAAGTGACCGAGCATCAATTCTGTCCGCTGCAATCTGCAAGAACAGAAAAAGGTAAAGCAGAAATACTTCAGAATCTATGATGAAGGTTGTAGATATGTCTGTATTGAGGCATGACCAAGAAGAGTTGATATAGGCTTGCTTTAGTTTTTTATTTTATAATTTTAGAAATTATAATTTGAGGCAAGGGTTTGGCCCTAAACTGAAATTTATAAATGATTGAGTGAAGCTTAAAAATGGGGCAGAGAATACTACTGTACCGGCTACTGATCCTTGGCAGAGCGGAAGTTCGGCGTGGGACTTGCTGAAAGGATGCTCGATTGGCAGAACAATTTCTTCGACACAGACTGCAGTACCAATCTGGGCAAGCTAGAAAGCATCGGATGGTCCAGGCCGTCTAGTAGGTTTAGTCCATTTCTTGTGCTTAGAATCTCGCCCATTGAGGCAAGAAAATCGACACACAGCTGTAACCTCTGAATGTGTTCTGACAAAGAATGAAGTCAAAAAGAAAAATGAGATATTTGATGTAGTAAATCTTCATATCCAACAACATTAATCAATTCATTTGAATACTAGAGTAACTATTTCACACTAATGACTCACTTGTTGCCTCCTTCCATTTCATTCGATTATTTATATAGTAACATACTACTGCAGAAAATATATATAGACCCTAGAGAGCATTATTTTCCGTACCCTAGAGCATGTTTACCACAAGAAATGAGTATGACAAACGTTTTTGCACTCAAATCACATGTTTACACAAGGGTCCTTCATCAATAGCTCTGGCTACTCGTAATAAACATTACTTGAAATATAAATGTTTTATATATTAAAATAGAAAATTAGAAACAATATCAAATAGCATGAACAATATTCAAACAATGTGCTTATCTCACTAAAAGGCAAACAAACTGTCATTCATTTTAATTTATTTGTTTATTTCCGGTGATTAGTTTTTCATATGATTGAACTCTGTTCAGCTGATGCAAGAATTTTAACAATGAAGGGAAGAAAGGATTGTGACTATCCACCGCTATTTTTTTCTTCTCTTCAGGTGTTTAAAATGGGGAGCACATGTGTGTTTGGTTAAAAGATTTTACCCAAAATTTACTATTTACTAAATTTATTCACTCCAAGAACATCAAATCAAATGTCTATTCTTTATTTTTTATATTATACTAAAACTAATTTTACCAACACCTATTTATATCATCATACAACTATTCAAATTCAAATTTTTTACTATTCAAAACATAAACTTAGGGTGCATTCGTTTACAAGATTTTCCCCAAAATCTAATATTCCTCAAAAAAAAATTTCTTAAAAACATCAAATCAAACACCTATTTATATCACATTATACAACTATTCCAATTCAAAATTTTTACTATTCAAATCGCAATTCAAAATCCAAATCCCCAAACAAACACCCCCTAAAAATCCAAACCCTCAACCAAACACACCCAGTTGTTTATGCTGAAAATAGACAGGCTTCTGAGATACCTCGGAGAAGGAAAAATCATTGTGGCAGCATTAAGACCCAACCAGCTGGCCAATGCTCGGAATCAACATTGGAAGTAATTTCCGGGTAGCTTTAGCATTGGTGTAATTATCATTTTCAAAGTTTGCGAGCTCATTTTCCAGCATTGCATAAGCATCAGCAAATGCCTGAACAAGACAGATGCATATGAAACCTTAAAAAACAGCTAAAAAGGACATCAGTTGTGAAAAATAAATAAGCATCGACAAATAAAAGCTTCCATGTGGTTGGTTTAGCCATAGCTATAAACAAAATAGATTAAAAAGGAAAAAAAAAAGGCTGTCAAAGCAAAAACAACAGATTCATGTCTGGATGTGATAGTTAACAAGTAAACTTTACAATAAATAAAACATATACATAATGCAATAAACCACTGGACAGGTATTAAGGAAACACAAAGAATATCATATTTAAAAGACATGAGCAGAGACTCATCAGCTACATGAAATGATTCAGTGAACAGATTTTAGTATTAATTCAGAATAGAGACAATTTCAAAAGGAAAAGCACGCCATGAAAAATATTGTTCAAGGTGGTTCAGGGTTTACGGAAAATTATGTATAATGGTAGGGAATACTAAAATCAGATTCTTATGACTACCAAAGGGGACTACTGTCAATAAAATCAATTTTGGGAATGATCCAATTAAAAATGCCACCTGACCTTGATACATTGATGAATGCGGAAACAATTTCTCCCAACATTATTTGTTAAAAACAGAGGATCATCAATGCAGAGTGGATCGATACTGCAAAAGATAAAAAGCAATAAATTAATAAATATGAAAAGCGGATGCTAAAATATAAGCATGAGCTGTGGATGTCATGAAATGCAAATCAAGAGAGTTTATTATTCACCTGCACCCACGTTCACGGTTTAAATATACACCACTTCCCTGTACGGATATACGCATTTGTCGTGGATCAAATACATTCCTAAGCAACGATCAGTCACAAGGGAAAAAATTGAAGATTAAAGGAATGAAATAATTGTAGAGTGGAGAGGTAATCTTGTTAAAATAAATTGATATGCTTTCTAAAGTACGTCGATATACTTACCCAAAGAAATAGAAAAAGTCCATCAGGAGGCTTCCATAGTTCTACAAAAGACAATGTTAAAAAAATATTACCCAATTCCATTTGTAGAAATATTTTCAAAGAATTGTAGGATAAGATAAAGCTCAGAATCCAAATTGAAATAATTCTCTGTTTACGTCAACATTGAGTGTATGTGCATGCTTGCCACTATTATGGTAAACATAATGTTCATTTAGAAGGAAAAATTGCACCCTATTCCATTCAGTCACAACAGAAATATAAAGAATAGAGTTGGCAAAACATAGTTATTGTCTAAACAAGCAGAACAAGGAAAAGTTAATTGGCATGAAGATCATATAGAAATTTTATGAGCATGGGAACTACTGAGGTGTGAGCCAAAACACTTCTTTGTTGTCCATGACTCCGTGCAGGTAAAATTGGATGCATATTCTCAGAGGAAACAGCACTCATTGCACACAACAATCTAAGCCCAATAAAAGCAAAAAGAAAAATGAAGCAGATACAGCAACAGGATAAGGGTAGCCACTAATCCTTTCTCCATCCACCTTACTCAGCTAATCGGGCTCCTTGATCAATTACGTGTATACAATGCAACTTGAAATAGTATTAGAGACTTCAAAGAGAAAAAAAAAAGGTACAAAATTTAAACACTACATTTCCTGTATACAACTTTTTATATCATCCTGCATTTCAGTAGTTATGATCCACAGAAATCCTTCTTAGCAAATGAATCATGTATTTACTCGCAAGAATATAAATATGGAAAATATAAATATGATACACAGAATATATGGAAAACCAGAATCACAGACCAGTACTTGAAAATTTTCCTAGTGGAGATGTGATCATCTATTCACAATAAACCAAATATTAAAGAATTTAGGATGTGATTAGGCATGGCACGTGGCAAAAATGCAATTACCACAAAAGGCACATGCATATACAAAGGAGAACAAACTGCATAAAGGGCAACATATAATACTTGATTGATAGGTCGCCCTTGATGATGCTCATGTTGCAGAAATCGCGTGATCAGTAATATCTGCCAAAGGACAACAAAAATCAAACAAGATCAGGATACTATTAATAAAAGGTAAAATTTTCAGTTGAGCATAAAACAATCTAGAGACTAGTTTATATATATTAAACATACACACACACATTGTATCATAATCTCACGTATGAATATCACACGTGCGTGCACACGAATGCCACAAAATCAATCATGTACACCCAAACCAAGTTCAATTTTGAAAATTTTAAGTAAACCACATAAGTTCACAGTTGGTTAGCAACAGGATAGAAGAAACGCAACCTAATGAATTCAATGACAATAAATTAAGATAAGGCATTTTTTTAAAAGGGGAAAAGCACTGCAACTATGATACGACATAATTGATGACTCAAAGATTTGAATTGTATACAGTAGAGAAATAATTAATTTCAATTTACTCTATAAAATTAGGTTTGAATTACATGGCTACTGCGAAAAATGATAAAATAAGAAAAATATGTATCAAATGATAAAATAGCTGCTTGGACCATTGTCAAGTAGCTACACAGCAGAGAACAGTTGGACACATGATGTCAAGAAACAAAGAACATAATCATTCAGACATAATTCAAGCAACAAATACAGATGCCAGATGGTAGTTGGATAGGTAAAATTAAGCAGGAGTATGCCTAATTATTTGCAAGTTGGCAAGAGTATGATTTAAGGCCAGAGATTTTTCCAGAGCCCCAACCAATCATGGTAAAAAAAATCAAATAAGGAATATCGAAACTTTCATTATGATGTGTTCAAGGTTTAGATCCATTTATGAAAATACTACCATTAACAAGCATGACAAAAAGTGGTTAACTCTAACGACAAATCAAAAGCAGTTCCCTTTCCAATTTTAGCAAATAGAATCATAGTTGGATAGTCAGATGAAGTTGCACATGTGAAGTGCACGGTACGATGAGCATTCTACTTTAAAGTTGACATCACCCCAACTATACTCAATTTAGCCAATGAAATTAGACAACATTGAGCCACACAACAAGTTTTCTGATAGTTTTATACTGTAAAATAGATAGCCTGGATAACTTGCTTCGACAAATAAAGTAATTGAAGGCTTTCAGAACATGAGCAACTTATAAATTATAATGGAGTAAGAAACAACCATTATACAAAATCCATCCAACAGTAACTTACCAGGCAATATGAGCTTAAACCACCAGAATATGACTGGTCCAAGCTACGGTCAGCCAAGAACTGTTTCAACACTAAAGCAAGAGGTGTTGCTGCGGGAAACCGCTCAGTAAGGTCTTTAACCTGTAAGGAGATTTCAAATCAGAAAGAGAGGATAAAACCTCCAGTGTGGAGCCACAGTATAAACACTCAATAATTCAGGTGCGCACAGGAGACTTGAGAATCAGTATAACATCAGAGTAACCGAATAGCACATCGCTGGACTAGTGTAAACTAGTTTGTCAAAAGAATTACCAGACCAGTTGTCTGAAGTCCAGTATGTGTGGGAGACTTGAAACTAATATCGAGACGAACGGATTTGAATCCATCATTGATATTATTCCTTGTCTTACTCCAATTTGGTGTACTGCACTCAGAACTAGCTGCAAATTCTTCTGAAACAACCTGATCTGTTTCTTCCTTGGGCATTTGATCATTGGACAGAGGGGAGATGAGGTCATGAGGTACTTCCACCACAAGCATTATGATGGGTATCTAAAAGAAAATAAGGGGGAAGCAGATAGATGAGATAATTCTAAAATGTAAACTATATATATACACACATATATCAATGTTAGTTCTCTTACAGCAGTATTTTCCACAATCTTGAGAGAATCACTTTTGACCCACTCCTGGTTTGCAAGATATCTAGCAGCATGCTGCAACAAGAAAAAAATCTATATAATAAAAAATCACAATAATTTAAAGCTATGTAAGCAAATTGTGGAGCTTTATGATCAAAGACAGACAAATTACATCCCCAATAATGTATAAACCAGCAAACTGCTGATTTTGCCTACCTGAAGGCATGTTTCTTTAATGCCATTGCGTCCCTCTAAGATTCCAGCTTCTTTAATGGGTTCCTAAAAAGCAACTGAATTAGAGGCCTGTTTTCTTCTAGGCTTTGAAAAAGGCTAAAAAATTCACTATTTTATGCTCACCAAATTCCTCACAGGAGGAAGAGAAACAACAAGGTCCACATCACTAGATGGCAGAGACAAACCAGTTGCATTAGAGCCATAAACATTTGTTCTAGACCGAGGCCACAAAACTTGGAGGGATCGCGCAACACGTTTAACAGCCCAATTAATGTAAGGCTTCCTAATCAAGTTCTCAGCAGCAACCTTAAGTATTACAATATTACAAACCTCAGTAACTTGTCGAAAATTGCTGTAGTAATATCAACTTGAAAATATCCATTCAGATTTTCATATACCTGACTGCAGAAAAAGCCAATTTCATCATGTAAAATATCATGCATCAGTGACAGAGAGGCCTTGCGTTTGATACAGTTTTGCGGCTCGGGAGGTTGCAGAGGAAATGTAACATCTGGCTGAAGAAATCAGATAGGTTAGAATAAAAAAGTGGAAGTAGTGCATTAGCCTGCCATTGTAGTCCAAGTGTTGTTCATAAGAGATGTACATACATGTTCCTGGTCACGAGCTAACTGCGAAATTGCAATAAGACGATCCTGAAGCAATGTTCCTGATAAAGGCTGAGTTAACTGACGAGCTGAAAGACTTTTGTTCCTCCAGGACGGCCAAACTACTTCATTCCCTTCCATGGGCATGCAAGCTTCTTCAAAGTTAAGTCCATCATGAAACCAACCTTTGACACCCCAGTGCCTTGGGCTAGAGCTTCCTGATCGTACTGTAGGAAAACCTCTATGTTTTCTGGATTCACCAACAGGAGATGGTGGTGGTGGGCGAGGAGCACTTGGAACACAGAGGACTACTGGAGATGGTGGCCTCTTAATCCGAGGATGTTCACGTCGACTTGGAGGTACACAAGGACTTTTATGATCATAACCCCGCTTTGATCTTTCCCTTGACATATTTGGAATAATTATTGGCCTCAAAATGGGGTATGGAAGTGCATCTCCAGTCTTCACTTCTCCATCGCAAGATATGTTGGATATAGATCCCGAGGCACTCTCCTCCGCACCAAGATCAGTAATTGTTGAGGACGAATGAAGGACCTTGCTACTGATTTCACTTCCAGGAACAACATAACCAAGTGTGCCTGGAGCCAAAGGATCAAACGGAGAGCAAAATGAAGCAGTAGATGGAGAAGTCAGCCCATTTGTACTGTAAGAAGAAGAGAAGGCAACCATATCATCAACAGCCCTATTCATATCTGCTTCTCTCCAAGCCCAGGAACTATCATCTGAACAAAGAGAAGGGGGGCGAGAGAAGCTTGTCCCTGGATGATCAGAAGGATTCCAATACATTACACCTCCACCAAAGTATTGATTATAGTCCATTCCACCAACTGCATGCACCTCTAATTCTTCTTCAGACATCCAGTGCTTGTCATGCTCATCCATTTGCTCTTGGAAACTTGTTGTATCATGCATGTCTGTCGGTTCACCAGAAATTGTGTGTTCATCCTCAGAAGTAGCTGCACCAGATTGCACACTTTGTGCTGTGCCTTGCTGAAAGGAAGACTGGCGCCTTGAAATGAACTCAGAATCATAATTACAGGTAACTGAAGGCACTAATCTGTTGACACCATGTACAGTAGGAGGCCAATCTAAACTCATAGGCAAAGGCGCAGGTAACATTCCATTATATGCATTTTCAATGGTAGAATTTCTTACTTGTAAAGGTTGAACAAAGGAATGGTGGAAATGACTTTGCAAGTTATAGCCGATATCAAGGTGTAATCTATCAGTGGCAGCAGGGAGATGCATATTGGTAGAAGGATGAATGGGAACAACATTAGGCCACTCATACGAAAGGTATGCTGGTGAGTTTATGGTTCCAACTCTGAGCACACTAATACTTCCGGTATCTTTAACAAGAGAAGTTTCTTCAATTGGTTCAACAGCTTTGATAGTTTTTGGAGATCTTCCCGAAACTTGACTTCCATGGCCAATTTCTCTATTGGAGTCCTTAACTTCAACCAAAGGCTCGGCATTAAGTACCCTGACCCTGGTTTCATACTCGCGTTTTAAAGAATCACTCCCAGAAGTTTCAGAGCCATCTTGGAATGTATTATCCAAATGCTGTGAAGGGTTCTTCAAATAAAGATGGTCATCAGTTTTAGTGGAACTCTTTTCTATTTGTTGCACTGCATTCTCTGAGCTAAAGATATTAGTGGCAAAAGTTGGATCGGCATTTTGCCTGTCAATTTGAGTTGCAGCTGTTCCAGAAAAATTATCAAAAGTTGGATTTGAAGAAGAGCAATCAGACATGGTGGATTTGTATTGAGAACCAGAAGAGGCAGAGCCATTTCCAGTGCAGCACCTTGATTGACAGCCATTAACCTCTGAACCATTGCAAACTGAGCTTTTATGCTTTTTTCTTTCTTTCCTACTCTTCCGTGGTGCACCTCGAATTTTTCCATTATTCACTCCTTTAACAGATTCCTGGTCATGATCAATCAGTTAGAACCTATAGCAGATTCACAGTTATTAACTTCTAAATAAAAGCAAAAGCAATCACCACCACTGGATCAGCTAATAACAAATTCCCATGAGCAAGATCCTTCTTTGGAACCTGAGATTCAAAGATGTTGGACTGTCTACTATCATTCTTTCTGATAGACGGGGTTTCATCCTCTTTCCCCTGAAATATCGATGAGATTAGTTGAATACTCACAATACAAGAAGTCGTGTATAATCTTCAAATGTATTCCATTATCAATACTGAAAATAAATATGTACCTTAGTAGGTACAGCAGGTTTCAAATCATCTGGGCAAGGTCTTGGAATGGAATTCGATTTTTTGTTCTTTCCCTTTTTCTTACGGTTACCAGTAGCATGTTTCTCATTTACAGGCTTCTTAAGAGGGTTTGTGCCTCCCTCCCCCAATAACTCAGACTTTGTGCAATCAAGCGAAATAACCATGAGGAACTCCCGCAATTTTCTTAAAACAACATCGGAAATGCTATTTACAGTATCAAGAGAGCTGAAAAAGAGCCCCTCTATATCACATTGACCAAACTGTGCAGTTGAAAGCAGAGTCGAGATAACCTGAAGTATATACAAACTACTGAAAATACAATCTAATGGAGATTCACTTCCTGAAACTTGGCCAGTGTTGGCTTTCCTTCCAATTTTTAATCCAATTCCTTTAAATGTTCCAGTATCTCGCCTACCCAATATAGAAGAATCACATAATGGTAGACGTTTATCTCGACCATCAGACCACCAAATCCTATCATCCAACCCAAAAGCTTCAGGCTTCCCCACCATATCAGCCGTCTGGGATATGCAATAACAAGATATCAATAAAATACTATCGAGTTACCATATGAAAGCAAACAACAGGACACGATTACACTATACTGAGCGTAGTTTCCCCATTCCATTTGATTCGATTCAACTTGTCGGCATAAATTAGGCATAAGAAGAAACACATAAACAACCACAATCAAAGAAATCCAGTAGTGAAAACAAAGAATTAGCAACAAAATACCAATGTTCCATTTGATTTCATTCAATTTGTCGGCATAAATTAGGCATATAAACAACCACAATCAAAGAAATTCAGTAGTGAAAACAAAGGATTAGAAACAAAACACCAATATTCCATTTGATTCGATTCAACTAGTCGGGCATAAATTAGGCATAACAATAAACACAAACAACCGCAATCAAAGAATCCAGTAGTGAAAACAAAGAAATAGCAACAAAATACCAATGTTCCATTCAATTCGATTCAACTTGGCAGCATAAATTAGGAATAACAAGAAACACATAAACAACCACAATCAAAGAAATTCAGTAGTGAAAACAAAGAATTAACAGCAAATACCAATGTGCGTGCAGCCTTCGCCAAATATGTACAATACACCTTCTTCTTCACCGAACCATCGAGCTTCTCCCACCAATCGACACACCCTTTCTTCCTCCAAAACAAATTTGCAGCCACGCCGGCGGCACTCACCCTTTCCTTCAACTTCACCCCTCTTTTCTTCCCACTGTTTCCACTCAACCAGGCCAGCCTCAAAGCAATCTCCAATCTATTCACCATAAACTCCTCCAAACTATAATAGCCCTTGGCCTTCAACCACCCCAGCTCCGCCCACTCCGCCGCCATCGCCGCCTCTTCTCCGCCCCTAAGAAACTCCTCATTCGTAATTCTATCCATAACCTCAACAAATTTGTCCACGTCCTCCACCAAACCCTCGCCCACACAAACCGAATCAACGCCGCGAGCCCTCTCCCTTTCCCCCTCCATCGAGCTGAACAGCTGCATCGACTCACGAATCGCGCGCTCGGCGGGGTCGGACTCCGAGAATCGCGAGAGCAAACCCTCCGATCTCCGGTAGCACACCGTGGGGAGGGTGGATTCGTCGCTCTGAGAGAGGTCCGGGAGGACAATGAAGCGGCCGGCGCCGTTGGACGCGAGCTTCTCGTTCATCTGGAGGAGTACGGCCACGAAGCTGGCGTCAACTACCGTAAGGTGCGCGCGGCGTTGGTGAATGGAGAGGGAGGAGAACCATCGGAGCACGGCAGGTCGGGGCCCCGGGGTCGGGTTAAGGCTCGGGTCCCGGGTCGGGGTTTGGGAGTGGTAAAGGGAGATGTGGGCCGTCAATAGGTCGAGAAGGCGTTGCCTGGAAGTTGCCATCTGAGGACGAAATTATTTTCCGGTGCCGGGAGGTGGTGGTGGTGGCCGCGGAGGGGACGATGATCATTGGATTTGGGGAAAATGGGGAGCGAAAAGCAAGGAAGCTTGTCATTGTTATTAATATCTTACTATTTTTTAAAATGTTTCATTTTTTTGTTTTTTTGTTTTTTTAAGGAGACCGCATTTGAAAAAACTATCCAAAAAGCCAACAAATTTAGTTTAAATGTGTTTCTTTTAATTGAGTTTAAATGTTTAAATTTTTTATTTAAATAATATTTTATATAAATATATATATATTATTTAAGAAAAAAAAAACTCGAATAGTTAAAATTGAATAAAATCTTTTAAAAACATAATATACTTTTGTATTTAATTCATACTCAAATGTTGAATCCATGAGGTCACAATTACAAAATCATTCAAACTTCTAGCTTTGTTTATACAATGTTCAGCCAAGACTTAGCTCAACACCTCATTGCTATCGTACATGACCAAATGATTTCAAAAGTTCTTTTTATTTTCTCATTGCTTGAGCGATTGCAGTGAAGATTCTTTTCTCCTAGGGTGTGTTTGTTTGGGATTTGAATAGTAAAAATTTTGAATTTAAATAATTGTATGATGTGATATAAATAGGTGTTGACGTAATGTTTTGAATGTAAAATTGATTTTTAGTATAATATAAAAAATGAAAAATAAGTGTTTGATTTAATATTTTTGGAGACAAAAAAAAAAGAGATGAATAGTGAAAATTAAATTCAATCTCCCAAACAAACACACCCTAAATGTATATAATCACTTTGTTCTTTCAACATTAATTTTTAATTGTGATTCTCAAAAAATATAAACATACAAAAAAAACTTTTTACAAAAGTCAACAAAAATTTCAAATACTTATTATAAAAAATCAAAAATCAAGTATTCTACTTAAAATAATATATTTTATATTTTTGACATAATTGTTGGTACCACACAAAAACCAATATATATTTTGTTCTTTTAGAAAAACCAACATTCAAAAGTTATATGTTATTTTCTATATTATTTATATAGTTTTTTTTTTCATTTTCACTATTCTTCTCCATTTGATTATTTTTTCACAGAAACTCTGTATGCTATATTTTTTTTCAATAACCATCATTCTCCTCATATGTATTTTCTTGATCGATGGCCTCCTCCTTGTCAAAATTTTCTATATTCTTTACATAAAGTGATATATATACTATATGTATATATGATATATAAATAAATATAATACATATGATATATAAATAAATATATACATATATAATATATACGTATAATATATAGATACATGTTATGTATATATAAAACATATTAGAGAGAGTTGGAAGGGGCTGAGCAAAAGAAAAGTTCATATTTTTCTGATATAAGAATGTTGAGATATTTTAGATATTCAAATTTAAATTTAGTAAATTTATATCTAGATTTGATCGTATTTATAGATTAGATTACATAAATTTGAGTTTATCGAGTATGTTTTGTATTGTCTATATATAGGCTCTTTGTTTTGTTGATCAATAAGACAATTTCATTATTTTCCCCCCAAAATTTCTAACATGGTATTAGAGTCTATTTTTCTCATGCCGTAGATATAGTCTATCAATCCGCGTTCCTCCGGGTACATTCAACCTGGATTGTACCTGGAGGTCTTGTGATTTTGAGATCATGCCTTTGCAAGTTGTCTTTTTGCAAATCTGTCTCGTCTCATCTTCGATCTGCCATCTATCCGCTGCTTGTCTGTTGCCTGTGTGCAATCTGAAATATTCGCTGCCTGTCTGTTGCCTGCGAGTGATCTGAAACGATTTGTCATATGTCCGTTGTCTGTCTGTTGTTGCGTGCGATCTTCCATTTGTCGTTGCTTGTTTGTTACTTGCGTGCGATCTGCCATCTTTCGTTGCTTATTTGTTGCCGGTAATCTGTCTATGATCTGTCATCTGTCCGCTGTTTGTCTGTTGCCTGCGTGCCATCTGATTTGTCCGATGTTTGCGATTTGTCTCGTTTTTTGCTCCGGTTGAGTCATCTCGTTTTCGCCTCTGGTGGAGTCCTGTGGTTTTTGGCTCCGGTGGAGTCATGTGGTTTTCGGCTCAAGTGGAGTCATCTCGTTTTCCATCTCATTTCCGGCTCCGGTGGAGTCATCTCGTTTTCGGTTCCGGTGGAGAGTCATCTAGTTTTCGGCGGCTCCGGTGGAGTCATGTCGTTTTCGACTCCGGTGGAGAGTCATCTCATTTTAGGCTCAAGTGGAGAGTCATCTCATTTTTTGCTCTAGTGGAGTAATGTCGTTTTCGGCCATCTCGTTTTCGCCTCTGGTGGAGAGTCATCTCATTTTAGGCTCCGGTGGAGTCATCTCGTTTTGTACTCCAGTGGAGTCATGTCGTTTTTGGCCATCTCGTTTTCGCCTCCGGTGAAGTTATGTGGTTTTCGGTTCCAGTGGAGTCATATCATTTTCGGCTCTGGTGGAATCATGCCGTTTTAGGCTCCGGATGTCGTTTTTGGCTCCAGTGGAGTCATATCATTTTTGGCTTTGGTGGAGTCATATCGTTTTTGGCTCAGGTGGATAGTAATCTCGTTTTTTACTCCGGTGGAGAGTCATCTCGTTTTTTGCTCCGGTGGATGGAGAGTCAACTGCTAATTTTATTTATGCTTTCTTTTTGCGTTTATATTCAAATTTCTCATCAAACTCAAGTTGGTTTCTGTTATTCCACTTGAGTTTGAGGAGGGATGTTGAAATATTTTAGATATTCATATTTAGATTTAGTAGATTTATATCTAAATTTGATCATATTCATAGATTAGATTACTTAGATTTGAGTCTATTGAGTCTGTCTTGTATTTCCTATATATAGGCTCCTTATTTTGTTGATCAATAAGGCAATTTCATTATTTTTCCCCCAAAATTTCTAACAAAGAATAGTTAGGAAAACGTGGTGAAATTGTGATTATAGTTTAAGGAAGTTCTTCGGTCATTCTCAATACGGTCATTCTCAATACAAAATACGTCAGACATCTCTGACCAACATTACTTAGAGGAAGATAGAAATTCTCTATTCATTCCAAAATTCGAATTGAAGTATTTAGTGGTGTTAGTGTATCCAAATAAAGATAAACAATATGTATGATACTGATTTGATCGGATTAAAATATACTATAAAGATAAAATCAACATATATTATACATATCGCAACATATTTATAATACATCATATGCTATGTTATAAAATATATCATATGATATTTTATCATATATTGTATTATGTAAAAATATTTATTGTTTACCTTTATGAAATATGCTGATTTGACTGAATCAGCATGAGATCCGCGCTCTCTAACAATGGATATAAATGATGGCATATTTACTCTTAATATTTTTAAGTAAATACTGCAAATTCTTTTTATTTGGAGTTGTTTTAATTTTTATTTTTTTTCTATCATTGCAAATATTACTATAGTTTAATTTATATATTTTTGTCCGATGTTAAAATTAATTGATGAAATACTAGGGGTTTGTTTGTTTAGTATTTTGATTTAAAAATTATGTGGATATAGAAAATCGTTTCAGTAATATAAAAAAATTACTCTATAGTTTATGTTGAATATTGAATTTTGTGAGAGGATAAAATATATGTATTGAAAATAGTATTTGAAAATATTCTTAAGCAAACAAACCCTAGTTTGGAAAAATTGCAAAAAATATCTCACATGTATACCTCATTATCACTTTTGTCCTGTATTTATCCCGCTGGCAAAAAAAAAAACATATGTTTGCAAAAGTCGCTATTCATATCATTTGGTCGCGCGTAGCCGCGCGTGATCGCGTGTCACTACACGTGGTGTGAACATCGGGCGCGGCTAAATGACATAAATAACAACTTTTGCAAATATGTAAAATATAATTTGTCAGCGAGAGAAATACAGAACAAAAATATAATGAGGTATATATGAAATTGTTACAAAATGTACACGTAGCAACTATGTGGTACTGTGGCTGCTTTTGGTTTCCTTCGTGTGGAGGTTTCATGTAACTATAAATATATGTTGAATGAAACGAATTGAAAGAGATTACATTTCAATTACATTCCTTCGCATTTAATTTCCTCCGGTCTGCTGCATTAAATTACCTCGTACTTGCTTCTTTCATTCTGCGCAATTCATATATATACATACATACTATCATTGCATATATATTATATTATATATATCATACATACATACACAAACTACATATATATATACTTTATATTATATAATATATATTATATACAATATATAAAATAGTGGTTAGCGGTAGACGTAATTAATATTTCTATTGGCTAATCCTATAATTATATCACAACACGTTATCAACACGATTATATATTTTAATTTCCGCAAGGTAATATTTCATATTTTATCTGTTTATTATGACTAACCTTGCCAAACAGGAATTCTCACTCTCCTCGTTTCTGGCCAAAATTATATGGCATGGGCTCGCGATGTTAAAATGCATCTGGCATCAATGGGCTTGAAAAATACCATTGCCCGGGATAAAACTCCCCGAGCCAAGATCGTGCAAAGGCCATGATCTTTTTGTGCCATCACATCGATGAGGCACTGAAAATGCAGTATGTCACGCTGGAATCCCCACTCGAATTGTGGGAGAGATTGAAAGAAAGATATGATCATTTGAGGCTGACATTGTTGCCAAGGGCACGAAGCGAATGGCAAAGCCTACGGCTTCAGGACTTTAAAACAGTCCAAGAATATAATTCTGCTATGATTAAAATAACATCACAGCTGCGCCACTGTGGCGAAAATATATCTGAATCTGATATGATGGAGAAAACTTTCTCCACTTTTCATGCCTCTAACATGGTTTTGCAGCAGCAGTATCGCGAAAGAGGCTTCCAGAAATAATCTGAGCTGACCACCTGTCTTTTGCTGGCCGAACAAAATAATGAATTACTGTTGAAAAATCACGAATCTCGGCCGACAGGTGCAAACCCATTTCCAGAGGCAAATGCGATACAACCGGAAAATCCGATGCGTGGCCGTGGGCAGGTCATAAATCAAAGAATTGATCGCGATCGAAATCAGAATTGTGGACGGGGCCGGGCAAAC